CTGGCACATGCCTGTACTTGGGAGGCTGAGGCAGGAGAATCGCTTGAACCCAGGAGGCAGAGGTTGCAGTGAGCCAAGATCAAGCCGCTGCACTCCAGCCTGGTGACAGAGCAAGACTCTGTCAAAAAAAAAAAAAAAAGAAGTACTTCATGGAGAAGGAAAATAATATAGATCAGAAACTCAAATCTACATGAAGAAAAAACATTGGAGAATAAGTGAAGCTAAAATAAGCTTTTGTTTTTAATTGATCTAACAGAAAACAGTCTGTCTAAAATAATAATAGCTAAAATGGATTCAATTATATATATACACACACGCGTAATTTTGTATATATATATATGCTTATATATAAGTGAAATGAATGAAAGCAATAATATAAAAGATGGGGAGAGGATTAAGAATATTTTATTATAAGGTGCTTGTACTACCCATAAAATGGTATAGTGTTATTTGAAAGTGGACTTGAGTTAGTTGTAAATGAATTTTGCAAACTCCAGGGCAACTACTAAAAAAGCTTTTTTAAAAAGTATAACTCATAGACTAAGAAAGGAGAAAAATGAAATTTACAAAAGACTCAACTGAAACCATAAATAACAGAAATAGGGTAGAAGGCAAAGGTAGAAATAAATAGTAAGGGCAAAAAATAGAAAACAGTAACAAATGTGGTAGATATTAATTGAACTAAGTCAATAATCACCTTAAAACCTCAATTGCCTAAATATTTCAATTAAAAGACAGATTGGAATAGTGGATCATGAAACAAGACCTAACTCTTGTTTATAAGAAACCCACTTTAACTACAGAGGCACATATAGATTAAAAGTAAAGGGATAGAGTAAGGCATACTATGTTAAAACTAATCAAAAAGAAAGCAGGAGGAATAATATTAATTTCAGACAGAGCAGACTTCAGAGCAAGGAGAGAGAGACATTACATCATGATAAAAGAGTCAATTCTCCAAGAAGACATAATAATCCTTAATGTGCATGCACCTGACAACAGAACACCAAAATACATGAGGCAAAAATATATAGAACTGCAGAAGAAATAGATTAATCCAATATTATGGTTGGAAACTTTAGCACCCCTCCATCAGAATCAGATGGCTTCAGCAAGCAGGAAGTCTGTAAGAACATAGTTGAACTCAGCAGCACTATTAATCAACTGGATACAACTGACACCTATGGAGTGCTTCATTCAACAACAGCAGAATACACATTCTTCTTGAGTTTGCATGAAATGCTCACCAAGATAGACCATATTTGTATAAAATAAATTTATATAAATATATATAA